CGGCCCATCTGTAAACCCAGGCGCCCACCGTGTGGGGGAGGATGGCTGATCCCTGAACAAAAATCAGGATTCTGATAGGGGGTGCGAAGGGGGGAATGGGTGCCGGGTAGACAGTGCACAGTGTTCTCCATGACCCAAAGTAAGCATTTCATAGAGCTGGGGGCCAACTGTATACTCCGGTGATTTTCAAACAGCTTAGCTGCTTAAATTCATTCAAATAAAATCTTACCCTAAAGAATAAGCAAATGTAACTAATAAAATCAGAACAGGCGTGGTTGAAAAATCTGTGGAAGGCTGTGGCCTTGGGATCATAGTTTGAAAATCCTGGTAGTTCGCTTTGCGTAAATTGCTTCAGACATTTTCTATTCCTGATATTGCGTCATCCTTATAACACAGTTGTATTATGTGCAACAGACATCTTCTTGTGTCGAGGGCTATTCTAAGAGGTCAGTTGGCCAGAGGGGTCTAGTATTTCCAGGGGTTGGGCAAATTCAGGGGTGGCAGCTGGGCTGAGAGTGGCAGATTTGGGCGCCTGAGATGACACAGAGCCAGGAAGAGAAGTGCCTCTATGTTGGGTATTGAGCTGTGATCCCAGGACTGGCTCATTCCCTCTCTGCCTGCCTGGTGTGGGTGGCCCTGGCCCGTGGGTGACATTTGCATTGAGGAGGAAGCGAAAGGCCTGTTGAGGCAGGGCAGAGGTGCTCTGGCATTACGTTGTCACAAAGGTCGGAGAGGCTCTGAGAGCTTCATCTTGGAATGGGGTGGGTGTCGGGTTGCCACATAAAATACCAGATGGACACCCAGTTAAATGTGAATTTCAGATAAATAAGGAATAATATTTTAGTATAAGTATGTCCCAACTATTGTGTGGGACATACATATAGTAAGATATACTGCATTATTTGGGACATATTTATATTAAAACATTACTCCTCATTTATTCACATTTAACTGGGAACTATATATTCTTATTTGCTAAATCTAACAACCCTACAAGGGTGGGAAATGAGGGGGTCTCCTGAGACATAAGGATGTTAGAGTTGACTTTCTTCCCATGGTCCCAATCTTAGTCATGGAGTAGTTGGCACCTCTTGTTCTTCTGACCAACAGTTTGCAGGGCCCTGTTACATCAGTTACCTGAAACCTCGTTAAAAGGACAGATATCTGCTCGCCACCGCGACCCCTAGTTCTTGTGAATCAGATCTCTAAGGATCGGATCTGTCCTGTCCTTAATAAGCCCAGGTGATTCTGAGGCTCAGCCCAGCTTGGAAAGACCACTTTAGAGTTTAAGTTCCTGAGGGCGAGGATGTTGCTCTCAATAAGTATTTGTTGGATGGATGAATAATTCCTCCTTGAGGAATGAATCCTCACTGGCTTAACCGGTGTTTAGCTTGTGGAACTTGGGAACACCAGAAGCACAGGTGTCTTGCTTTTCACTTCTTTTCTGGTGTTGAGCCTCGTGGGAAAGGACGTGGGGGGAAGGTGTAACGGAGAGAGTCTTGGGGAACGGGGGAAGGAAGGGTGAGGACAGGACTGAGCAGGAGAGAGCACCTGGGCTTGCCAGGCAGGAGGCTAGAGCGTCCACGTCGGGGAGGGAGGCCAACTTTTTAATCACCTCCTCGGGCAGAAAGTCTTGAGATTTCAAGTTGAGAACAAGTCTTCAGTTATTTTCGCAGGATTCCTTTAGTCTGACTTGGCACAGTCTACGTGCTCAGCGTCACGAGGAGAACGATGCTGAATTTGGAGTCGTCCAACCAGGGTGCCTAAAGCATGTGGGAAATGCTTCAGCGGAACTTGGTGGGCGGCAGGTAATGGCCATTTCGCTAATCTTGGTAATTCCCCAGATCAGCGGCATTCCTGAGAGCATCTATTTCCCACAGCACCTCTCTCTGCAGGGCTCAGCCACAGAAAGCCCAGACTTCTGTCCTAAAACTTTAAACCCAGGATGTACCCAACTGTCTACATTTCCCCTGTATAGATGTGCCCCAGTGCCTACATTTTCTCTAATACAGACAATTACGAAGGTTTTTTTTTTCTTTCTTCCTTTTCTTCCTTTTTTCCTTTCTTCCTTTCTTCCTTAATTTCCTATTTTCCTGGAGAGAAGCTTCACCTAATGGATGAGAACCTGGCATCCAATCTGCAGTAAGTTTTTGCCAAGTGACGTCATGGACACACGGTGCTCTGACTGTCAACCGAGTCACCGGTGTCCTCTCAATCTGTTCGCCCATCTGCGGAGTGGGAGCGCTGCCACAGGGCCGCAGGGCTCGGGGAAATGCAAGCGCTGTCTGGAATTTCAGAGCGTAAGGCTCCTCGGCAGGGCTCCGTGTCAGGAGTAGAAAGGAGAACATCGATGACTCCCAGCTTTGCTCTGTGACTCTAGGCCTGTCCCTCCTCGCCTCGCCTCCCGCAAGCCCTCACACGCACCCTTCCGGGCAGGGCGGAACTGCCGCTGGACAGTGCCCTTGGTGGTGGCCGCTCTGTGGGCTCCCGTAGCTGCGCTAAATCTGGAATGTGTCCTTGGTACCTGGGTGCGACAGTGAGATCCCCTCCCCACATCCCTGAACTGAGACATAAAGAAGTCATGTTTCTATTTTGAGAACTAAACTAGTAAATAGAACGTACAGGGTTGAATGACTGGCCGCAGGGACGCCCAAGGTAAGACGTTGTCGTTGAAAGCATGTGAATCGCAGCGATCTGCGGAGGATGGACTAAGATGGACGTGTCTGTAATTCGGAGACTAGAAATTGGTACTTACTGACATCGTGGCGTGCAGTTAGGAGGAAGAAGGTGTGAATAGAAGGGGGTGGTCAGTTCAGAGAACAGGGCAGAAAACCTCTAGGAGCCAGAAGTTAGTGGTGCCTCTTCTAGTGCTGTCCAGTAAAGGGGAGACCCAGCTAAGTTGGCAGTTTCCTGTGCAAAGTCTCAACCACAGTGTGAGGGTGAGTGTGCCTGAAGCTCCCTGAGCTGGGGGCCCTTCCCGTGCTTACCTGGACCTTCCGAAGTCTGTCTTCCTCTGTGTCCTGCCCTCAGGGAAAGTATGCACCGATTAGGTCGATGCAAACATCCTGCCCACTTAATAATTGTCCTCTGGTAACTGGATATCTGCACGTGAGCGGTAGGTACCCTTTCAGTGCGCTGACCGAATTCATGTTTCTAAGCCTGGGAGCCTGAGCACATGGATGGTGGGAAGTTCATCGAGATCACAGACACCCCATGACATCCCCCTGGCCTACCCACCAGCAGCCTCCCTGGCCTGTCTTTTAACTGTGCTCATGTCCCTGCAACAGCAGGAGCTTGTGCAACAGTGGGTCCAACCTCCTCATTTCCCAGACCTCTCCCCAAGGTTGGATGATTTTCGGCCTAGTTCCTCTCCATTCATGCATCTCTAGTCATCTTATACTCTCTCTGCTTCTTTCTCTGCCACCCCTATTGGAGGCCAAGATGGCGCAGGAGTAGCCATAGGGCCGTCGAGGGCACTGGGGCCAGCATATCCCGCTCCTTCACAGTCCTTCCTTCTCCTCAGTTCTGAGTTCCTGACTGGAAGAGGTCAAATGAGGATTCCATTTCCTCTCACTTGCATGGACTTTGACTTACTTGGTTTCGCAGTATCTGAGGCCTTTCCCACAGCAAGGCCTGGGAAGAGGGGAGCTTCTCAGAGAGGCACAGGGTTGAACCTTTGCAGCCCTGAGTGATCTTTCATTTCCTCCGAGGATTCTCTGCTCCAGGCCCTCCAGCCCTAACTCCTGCAAGCAAGCGAGCAGCCCGGGCAGGGGAGCGGGGGGCTGGTCTCTGCACAATTTAGGCCCTTGCCAAACTGGAGAGGCCTGGGGCCTCGGTGGAAACACCGGATTTCCTATTGTACCCCACCCCCCAGGCAAGTCCCTCCCCACTTCTTGAAACCTTCTTTCTGCTGCTCCAAAGACCTTTTATGTAGTAGGATATATTTCTTGTCTTCTGGAAGAGCTGGGCTCGGGTTGTAAGCACATGAATGTAAAACCATCCCTGGGGCCCCCTCTTCCCTTTGTCTTGGCAGATACTCAAAGTCTGATAAAGCAATTTGGCCATCTCCTCTGCAGTTTAAAAGTTCCATGTGTTGTGTATATGCTTCTTAATGAGGCTAGTGACTCCATCCCTGACTTGCTAACTCAGCTCCAAAACTCAGAAGGCCGTAGCTGGAAAGAAACTTAGTCAAACCACCTCATTTGGCAGATAAGGAAACTGAGGCCCAAATGACTTTGCCAGCTAGCTAATGGCAGAGTGTATTACTCTGGCTACTATAAATATTTGAGTCATTGTTAATTAATGATGAGGTCAGATCCTGTGCAGTTACATGCTAAGAATTTAAATACAGGAAATAGATCATGTGCCGCAAAGCCTAAATACCAGAAGCATCTAAACAGCACAATTGTTACGAAAGGATTTGTAAAATAATTATCCTTTTTAAAAAAATTAGTCCAGTGTAACTGAAGAACTTCTTATAATACACACTGTATATTCACAGTGTGATCTGCAGGGTTGTGGATCGGGGGTTGGTGGTATCACGGCTGCCCGATCCACACCACGTGGACAGGATGGTGACGGTGTAACGGGCAATCGCAGTGACCTCACGGCTGTCTCGCTGCTCACACAGACGCTGTGACTGTTGTCAGTCAATTACCTGTTCAGTAGATGGCATTGTTTCAGAGTATTGAGCTGCCATCGTACAAATGTACATTACCTCATAAATGCCCTCTTTCCCCGGTCATTATGCTCTTATAGAATGGAGATATCTAAACTCCAGAAATATTATTAATCCAGAACTGGCCAGATCCTAACATTCTGAGTAAACAATCTTCAACCGCAGACTCACAAACTTGTTTTAGTATTTGAAGCTACAGCAAATATATTTTAGAAGTAGGTGGGGAACAGAAACAATTTTTAATACTCATTTTGGTTTTCTGGTCCTCAGCTGTTTTCTTGCACTCACCTGAGTGCACTCACCTGAACTTAGCAGAGGTCAGAGTAGGAGGATGTCTAGACTCCAGGACAGTTGGAAGGGAGAGCTAGTACATGACTGTCTGGGCACGGTCTAGAGAACCAGAGGACCCTTTCATACCCTCTGCCAGGTTAAGGATTTAGTCTCTGAATTTTGGGTGACCCTGGGCTTGTGGCAGATGATTAGTTTCACTTAGTTAAGTGTTTCTCAACCTTTTTTGATTATTATCCTCCTACCTCCACCTGGAGAAAAATTAAATTTAACTTCTAACATGAGGAATGACATACTAAGGAATAAGATTTTGTTGGGAGGATTGAGCTTTGGCAGGTGGCAGGGGGGAGATGTCTTCTAACCATTATAATATCTGACTTTTTTTTGGCTCCCCCTGAACTAGTTTTCACTCTCTTGTGAGTAACATTGCCTCTACTGAGAATAAATGACTTAGCTGCAAAGGGGATCTAAGAAAGTTGGTAGATTCTAACACTGTATCAATCCATTATCTCAGGAACAGAAGCATTTTATTTTGAATGCTAAGGCTGTCAGCTTCTAGCTACTCAAAATTAATTTAAATTATCATGGCTATTTGCTTGAGATGGGAAACTAATTGGAGAATTATATGTGATAGACAACAGTGGAGTGGGTTGTTACGGTAAACCTCCTTGTCCACAAATTCTTTTCACTGTTAAAATGGATTGATCTTCAGGATGGGAAGTTTTTAGACCTCTGCACAGACCAGCCATTGAGGGTTGTCAGTATTTTTAACTGCAGATTTCTCTTCTCTGTCTTCTCTGGGTCAACATTTTGCTCACTGGAATGTTTCATTGGATATTGTGGAAGAACCACAGTTTTCATAGTATTACAAAATCGTCTATTGTTTGCTATGCCCTGAGTCATCTCAAATCATTGCAAGTGGATGGAAATGCCTCCACTTCCCCTGTTTATAGAAAATCTCAGGAAAATGAGTTGATTTTCATTTCGAGAATAAGGAACTGGAAGGATTACTGAAAGGTTCTCAATTATAGGTACGGAATTGGAAGGTTTTGTAGCCCATGAACACCTAAGAATAAGACTAAGTGTCTTGCAACAGCTTTTCCTCTTCTGAAAACTTTTCCTCCTGGCCTCCTGGCTTTCCTACCCCACGTTTCCGGTCTGATGGTGTTCTCCCTGCCTCCATGTTGCTATCTTGTGACCCCACCCCCTTGGCCAACATGGATTGGACTACAGATGGACAACTGGCACAAGTACAGCCAATTAGCTTTGTTCACCTCCAATGTGTTAGTGAACAGCTTTTGAGTTGCAAATAGTAGAAAACAACTCAAGTTAAAATCCATTGACATTTAAAGTTTTGTTTAGTTTTTTTCTTTACTTTTTCTCTTTTTGTTGAAGTATTTAAAATTTTACTGTGTAATTTACCATAAGCATGGTTAAAGTCTTTCAGATTGAGGGAGAGGGCAATGCCGTCGAGGGCGCCAAAACTAAGACCGGGAACGCTGTGAGGAAGCCAGAGGACCCCTATCACCAGTCCTGAACCTCTGCCCTCTACTGATTAACTTTATTTTATTTCTTGGCAGAATGATGTCGCTATTCAGTATACACAAGTGGTAGAATATCGCCATCCAGAGCCCCCAGTTCAAAAGTTGTAGTTCCTGCCACATACTGTAGACTAGGTCTCTTTCTCTCTGAGTCATAGTACTCAGTACTCAAGGAAGAATTCTGATTGTCCCAGCTTGGGAGAGTTGCCCGGCTCTGGACCACTTGGCGGGGCTGGGGGGCTTATATTATGTGAACGTTGCTGCCAGGAACTTCTGTCAGTTCTGTTAAGAGGGTTGTCATAGACTTATTACACGCTAATTTCCATTTACTTATGCGTCTCTCCACTAGAATATGAATTCCTTCAGGGCAAGGAATTTGCCTATTGATAGTATATTCTCAGTGCCAAATGAAAGGCCTGGTTCTTTCTTAATAGATGTTTGATAAATACTTGCTTAAAGAATGAATGATTGAATACAAATTGACACCAAGAAAAAATTTCATACTATTATACCATCTTGCCCAAGATACTTACACTGTTTTTATATGTATGGAATCCTCTGAACAGTGACTAACACCTTGAATCACAGGCCATTACGATTTTTATTTAAAGGATCTTTTAAAAAATTTTGTAAATTTTTTTTTTTTTGAAGAGCCGGGATCTTGCTCTGTTGCCCAGGCTGGAGTGCAGTGGTGTGATCGTAGCTCATTGCAGCCTTGAACTCCTGGGCTCGAGCAATGTGCCTGCCTCAGTTTCCAGAGTAGCTGGGACTACAAGTGTGAGCCACCATGCCCGACTGATTGTTCTTTTCTTTCTTTCTTTTTTTTAAGAGACAAGGTCTTGCTTTATTGCTCAGGCTGGTCTCAAACTCCTGGCCTCAAGCAATCCTTCCACTTCAGCCTCCAATATTGCTGGGATTATAGGTGTGAGCCACCATGCCTGGCCCAGGTTTTGTAAATTTTTGAAGGTCTGCAATGTGATAGATGCTGTGCTGGGGTAGTGAATATATTGATAAATAAGACGCTATCACTGTATTTGAAGACCTCTGTGTTGAGTAGGAGAGACCTGAGAGATCATTTAATAAGAAAGCTTAACTTTCTCATTTCATAGATGTGGAAAAGGAGACTCATAAAGGTTGTTAGGCTTGACGGAAAATGTTTTGATTTTTTCATAAGATTTTAATATGTATGCATATGAAGTTATTTTTCAGTGAGAGGTATTACTTAATTTGGCCAAAGGAGACATTCAGTCTTTGTACATATAAGGATTATCTTTTTTTTTTGATCTTGCATTTCTTTTTAATAGCCATGTGATTATGTAGATGCTATTTGCTAAGCTTTTGATTTATTTGGAACCAATTAATAGCTGGCACTCAAGTTCTTTGGAAACTCAAAGTACACTATATTGGAAATTTCTTTTAATAAGGTCATTTATTACTGACATAGCTTCTGACACCTCTCCCATGCATTATTATTCCTTGTTAAGTCACTTCCTGAGAAGCTGGAGAATGTTTTCCACCTTAGATGGCACAGTTTATATTGACTTTCTCTAGGAGAAAGTGAAGTTTGGAGAAGAGAGTGAAAGGGATCATTTTTCTATGTTTACGGAGAATGGAGGTGAAAATTTTCTTTGAGGGAGAAGACGAGTTGGCGTGGAATTCAATTAACCTTTCACTGGGAACCGAGTATGTGCCAGGAACTGTGCAGAATCCAGAGGGGGCGAGGCTCCAGCTCTAGTAGGAAGACCCCCTGCCTCCGCTGGCCTTGCTGGCTGGTGACTGCAAGCAACGTGCTAAAGAGCAAGTGAAGGAAAGGCCAGGGCTGCTCACTCAGAAGTTTGGAGAAATGTTTCTCTGGAGGTGATGGCTTTGGGGTTGGCCGAAAAATAGGTAGGTGTCAACAGTTTACCAGAGGAAAAGGAGAGAGGAGACTAAAAGCTGTAGGATGCCAAGGGACAGGATTTGCTCAGAATCTATGTGATAAAGATGGAACCAGGGCGGAGCTGATGAATGGCTTTGCCCTAGAGCGGAGCTGGGACGTCTCTGGTGCTGGTTGCCTCTTTCTTCCCCTCGGTAGCGTTGTCAGGACATATTTCTGGAATGAAGAGCCCTCCTGTGTGTGCAGCTGGGCTGACTGAGGCACACGGACATAGATTTTCACTTCTGAGGAATGTAAGCTTTTAAATGTGTCCAGACTCTGTACAGCCTACCAGGGGGGCTTGTCTCACAGCCTCCAGGGTGAAGGTGACTGTGCTGGCATATTGATGGGGGTTGTCCTGGCAAAGTCATCTCATTTCTCTGCTGATCAGGGAAACTTCCTGGAGAAGGGCAGTGTTCTAGAGTTTTCTGTCTGGGAGAAAGGAGAGTGTGTGTGTGTGTGTGTGTGTGTGTGTGTGTGTGAGCACTGGGTGGAGCCACACTGGGGAACGTGGAGAGGCATAGGGTCTGGGCTTGCACTTGCTGTCTGAAAAGTAAACATGGTCCTTCTGTAATCCCGTGTGTTCTAAGTCAGGAGGCTCACTGTTGCAACTGGACTTTTTTGTTTTTTCCTCTTCCTCTCCCAGGTGTGAATGAGCCCAGGAGAGGACATTCTGCCACTGCTGGAGGAATCCCCCATTTCCATGTCATTCGTGTGGGCCCTGCTGTGAAATGAATCCAGCAAGGACTTGTTGGACGCTTCCTTCCTTCCCTTGTTGAATACTCCAGAGCCATTGTTCCCCTGTTGTTCCCATTGGGTCCTGTCCTCCTCTTGCCAAGGCAAATAGCCCAGTCTCAAGTAGGTGTCCCTAGGCTCATCTGTCAGCCTGAACATGAACATAAGCAAAGCTGATGACAGCCAGGGTTCCCAAGGGATGTGGGGCCCTGCGGGGTCCAGCCCCCAGGAGCAAGACCTCTCATGATGTTGGTGTCTGGGAGTGAGCACCATGCCCATCACCCAGGACAATGCCGTGCTGCACCTGCCCCTCCTCTACCAGTGGCTGCAGAACAGCCTGCAGGAGGGCGGGGACGGGCCGGAGCAGCGGCTCTGCCAGGCGGCCATCCAGAAGCTGCAGGAGTACATCCAGCTGAACTTTGCAGTGGACGAGAGTACAGTCCCCCCTGACCATAGTCCCCCAGAAATGGAGATCTGTACTGTGTACCTCACCAAGGAGCTAGGGGACACAGAGACTGTGGGCCTTAGTTTTGGGAACATCCCTGTTTTCGGGGACTATGGCGAAAAGCGCAGAGGGGGCAAGAAGAGGAAAACCCACCAGGGCCCTGTGCTGGACGTGGGCTGCATCTGGGTGACGGAGCTGAGGAAGAACAGCCCGGCGGGGAAGAGCGGGAAGGTCCGACTGAGGGATGAGATCCTCTCCCTGAACGGGCAGCTGATGGTCGGAGTTGATGTGAGCGGGGCCAGGTAAGTGGGGGGATGATGGCTGGCATGGGGGCAGGACATGGGGCCCTGGTGGGTCACCAATGTCTGATCCTGGATCTGCAGCTATAGAGGGTTATGAGTCCTGCTGGTAAGAAGCTGATGGCGTTTATCCTATGAAGGGAAAATATACTAAGTTGAACCTTTGTGGTATTTAGTTTTTCATTTTTGCTTCATTTTCTCTTAGAGGACTCAGAGTCCAGGTATTTCCCTTTACCCTAAAGTTTAGAGTAGAAAGAAAAGAAACAGTACATGAAACAAGAATATAAGAAATGGCACGTTTAGACCCTCTTATCCATTTAATCCAGCATCTCACCTCTAACTGGAGCACCAAAGTTCAGGTCTTGGATGTGTTTCCATCTGTCTGTCCACATCACTTTAGTCACAGCAGCCATGGGGCTCCCAGACTCTCAGTCCAGAAGCCCCATCCTGGAAGATCCACTTCAGTCTCATCTGAATGTTTATGGACTATTCTCGAGCATTTTTCTATTTTCTAGCCATATGGCCACCAACCATGGTAGTAAGTTAAGATGGGACTATTTTGTTGTTTCCCAGGTGAACTGGGGGATAAGACTCCAGGGATCCCCAGACCACCCTCGGCTTCAGTGATTCACTAGAAGTACTCACAAGCCCAGAAAAGCTGTCATATTTATAGTTTCAGTTCCTTACAGTGAAAGGATACAGACTAAAATCAGCAAAGGTAAAAGGTGCAGCGAGTGGAGTCCTGGAAGGACCAGGTGCAAGCTTCCAATCGTCCCTCCTAGTGCAGTTGTGCAGACAGTGCTCACTTCCCCTAGTAATGGTGTTTGACAGCACATGATGGGTGTTGCCAACCAGGGAAGCTCACATGAGCCTTGGTGTCCAAGGTTTTTATTGGGGGTGGGTCACATGAGCATGGTGGAGTCCCTGTGTGGCTGACCTTAGTTATTTAGTATTCCGTCCCCGGAGGACTAATGCCACGTGATGCAAGGCTCCCACCTAAATCACACTGTTAGTATAAACTCACTGGCTTGGCCAAATACTCCCAGGGATACAAAGACACTGTTTTAAGGCAGGATATTCCAAGGGTTTAGATGTTGTCTCCCAGGAGCTGGTAAGGGCCAGTCCTTTCTTTGGGATGCACATGGGCTGAATACCCCAAACCTGCTGAGATGACCCTTTGCTGCACCCCAAGGCTTTAATGATGGGTATAGATGAAAGAGACTGGGAAAGAGAATTTAAGGATATTCTGAATGAGATGCATACGTTTTATCAAGCTTTCAGGAGCCCCTGTGAGTAGGGCTCCTGGGTCCTAGAAGGAGAGGGTCATGGAGAGAAAGCCACCTTGAGAAACATGGTGACCTTTGGATGAGGGAGACAGCTAACCTGAAAAGACCCTACAGGGAGAGTATCAGAGCAGAAACACCTTCACCTTAATCTTCGGCATCCCTCTAATGTCCTGCCAGAGCTTCCTGCCGGTGGAAACCAGCCAGAAGCCAGGGGATGGGGAGCCCACTGATGTGTCAGTGTCCAGGGGGGCAAAGTGCAGAGGGGAGAAGGGTAGAGATTGGACGTGGAGGGTCAGTAAGAAGTCATCAGGCACATATGATGTGGTCTAAGTATAAACGATCCAGTACATGGAAAAGATGGCTGGCTAGCAGGTGTGTATACTTACTCAAGACACTGTCACCAGTATTTCCTTTGGGTTTGCTCTTCAACTGCAGAGACGCTCTTAGCTAATGGCCGGGTGCCTGACTGGCCATTACTGGGAGAGACTGCTCATTTTCAAGGAGGGATATCGGAGAGAAATGATTGCAGAGATTAGAGATTGTTCTCAGAAAAGGAGCAAGGCTGACCACCACCAAGCTCAAGATGCCACAGGTTAGAAGTGGGGACTGCCATGGAGCTTGCGGCAGTCCTCTCAAAGCAGTTCCCGAGAACCCATACCATTTGCAGCTGTCTGGTTTGCAGGGAGCTGATTTGGGTGGAGAAATAGAGGAAGAGCAGGAGGGACATACAGCAGGAGGGCACAGTGTCAAGAGCTCCGACTCCAGAGAAGAAACTGGGGCTGCCTCCCCGGGTTTTCCTCACCAGCTGGTTGACCTTGGGAAAATTATACCTCTTAGCCTCAGATTCCCTGTCGGGAAAGTGGGAATGATAAGATCATTGATACAATGAGTAAATGATGAAATGTTAATAGTACATATAGAGGGCTTAGCACTGTGTCTAGTAAACAGTGCTCTATAAGCATTAATATCATAATTACTACTATACGTGGACAATGTTTGGGAAAACTGTAAATTTCTTACCCTGGAGGTTCCTGGAGTCTTTAGGACCTTAGAGAAAATCTTCCCATACTGGAGAAATTTTCTCTTCTCTGTTCAAGAAGCTCTTCTTCCCTTATCTTGCTTAAGGCTATTAAGTCTTTAGGAGGCAAAGTTTTCTTTCCCTGGCTTTGAAAACTTATCAGTTCCTGGGATGAGATGGCTTTCCAGTTACCGTTGTAGTATTCCTTGGTATTTTAATTTACTTGTTGGGTGGAGGCTAGGATGATGCCCAGTTTTGCAAAGAAAGAAGATACGGAAGAATAGAAAGGTGATGATGGGCCCAGGGTCATGACAGAAGGTAGAACATGGGACTAGACTCTTTCATGGAAGCTCTGAGGAATGATGGAGGGGACAGTGGACTGAGTCTGGAATTCTGGGTTCTCTCTGAGACCCTGGGTAAATGTCTGGGATGGTGGCCTGGGGGTGGGAGGGGGATTGGCTGTAGCTGCCTATGCTAAAATATTAGGGGTGTAGTTGTTCCTGAAGCCCACAGAGGCTTCTGCATTGCGTTCTCCATTGTGTTCCTGCAATGCCACAGTTCCTGCAAAGCCACAGTGATGACTGGCAGAGCCAAGGCTCAATCCCCCTTCTTCCAACTTGCAGCTGGGTGCCCACTCCAGGGCACTGCTCCCCTTCTGGGTGCTCAGAAAGAGCTATCTGGATGGCTGTGGCCTGTTGGCATCTGGGTTGAAATAGCCGAAACTGAGGGGAGTTCAGGAAATAGGAATGCGGAGAAAAGGTCAGGGAATAGACCTGTGGGATCCATAGTTGTTATCCCTGTGTTATCCATAATTGTTCCATAACATACCAAGAATTGTTTTAGTCAGATGTGGTAAGAGACACAGACACGGAGATGGCTGCCATGAAGAGAGAAGCTTACACTCACAGGCCCCTGGAAACAGGAGGCCCAGCACACCATGGGAGGCCACTGGGGCGTTGAGGAGGCGGGGTGTGGGGGAAGGGAGAGCATGGCCCTGAGCCTCTATCAAGGTTTCCATGAGAAGGAGTGGGTGAGGCAGGGTAGGCATGCCGAGTAAGCCTAGAATTGGGAAGTTGGAATAATTTCAGGAGGCTCTGGACTGTAGCGGTGGCCTTAAGCTGTCCAGTACCTGGCCATGAGGGATTTAAGGCAGGGGGAATATTAGCTTGGTGTGTGAGAGTTTGATAAAGGAAATGGTTGGGTGTGATTCTAGATTGGTTAGTTTGTATATCAAAGATCCACACACCCCTCAGTCGTTTGCTGTCTCCAGGAATTAGCTACCCTGGGGACGGACAGTCTGTCCAGGATCAAGGGTCCAAATGCCTGAGCATCAAGAATATAGAAAATAAGAAAATATGGTGAACACACTGGGTTTCTGGAAGCTTTTGACAGCTGAGGAAGTAAAATCTTGTTTAGTATTAATAGTAAACAGTACTGACTCTGAAGTTCCCTTCTACAGTGATGTGTGCGCGGGGTAGTGAAGGCCAGGTGAGGAAGGCTGTGCCCTGAAGCCACTGAGATGTGGTGTGGGAAGGGGAAGGCCAGGACCTACTGCTTGGTCTTCACGAAAGAGAGCGTGACATGGATTCAGGTAGTGAGTCAAGGAATCCTGTTGTCCTGCACTCCTGTTGCCTCATGGCAAACAGGAAGTTAACAAGACAGAAGAGACTAGCTTGAGTGTTCAAGGTTCACTCCCTAGTTCTCTTGAATAATGATGAGAAGTACCATTTATTGAGCAGTTTCTGCCACAGTGGACATCTGCCAGCCACTATCTCATTGAATACCTACCACAGCTCTATACAGGACAGCTCTACGTACATGAGAAACGCTGGCCATACATAACTTGCCCAAGGCCACCTACGTCGGAGGCAGAACCAGAGTTGAACCTGGGTCTACCTGGCTCCATACTCTGTGCTTCTAACCACCGTACTGTACGACCTCAGCGTCCGCCTCAGGGCTGTACTTTGGTCCTTGTGGCGTGTCTGGTGCCTAATTGCACGGATGATTTACAGCTTCACAAAATACCTCCTCAGTATAACCACAGATATCAGGAAAGAAAATGACTAGAACAAACTGTAAGGCTTCCACCTATCCAAACTGACAAGGAAAACAGAAGCGCCCTGCCTCAGCTTAGAAAGAGAAACCAACTTTTAATATAGAATCCCTTTGGCAAACTTATATCTAGCCAGAGCTTTAGGACTATAAGCACTTTGAGATGTAGGTGGTAGGGAGCTGAAAGTGTTCTGAATGTTCTCAAGATGTTCCTTTTCACTCTTTGTAACTAACAGCTTCCTTCAGCACTAAATTTTTCCACCTACCTATGTGTGTGTTGTGGGGGGCGGTTTGGTCCTAAAAATTGGTAAGGAGGAATTAGGGTTCTGCAGAGACCCCAGTGTACCTTGCTGTCCCTAAGCAAATGGCTCCCTCAGTTGACGACTGCCTATTCTCACTTCTTTGTAAGCAACAGGACTTATCTGCCACTGTGATAGACCATCCATTCCAGCACATACAGTAATAATGTGAGCTACTCTCTTGTGCAGTCTGTTCTGCTCCTTCTCTTGAGTTTGATTTTGAATTCAGACTCGCTTACGTGATGTTATGAGTTGAATTATGTACCCCCGAAGTCCGTATGTTGAAGTCCTAATCCTTGGGACGTCAGAATATAACCTTATTTGGGGTCATTACAGATGTAATTAGTT